ATCTTTGGGCAATCCTCCAGGAGGCTTGGAGTAATATATCAAGTCAATGTTTGAATAAACTGACTGCTCGGATGCCTAGTGTTGTCCCTTATTATCAATGCAAAATGGTCACTAACTAAAGAGGATTTATGCTGATATTGCCCAAAAACCCTATTTTGTTCAGGCGTTTCCAAACTTTTGGAGGGCAGTGTATATACTCAGTTTGCTTAAGAACCAGAAAAAATATATACGTGTTAATTGTTTTAATTTTTTCCCATTCAATTCATTTCTACCAACAGAGATTGTCACAGTACAGCAGTATAACCCTTTTCTTATTGAGCTATTTCATATCATCACCATTATGTGACTCTGACACACCAAAAGTGCACTGAGCTACAACGTCACTTGTCAGGAAGTCCACCAGGAACGTCTCACAGCCAAATGTCAATAAAAATCACTTAACTCAAGTGTTATGTCAACTTGATGTCAAAATAAAAATAAAAAAAAATAATAAAAATGATGAATAATATGTTATCTGAAGCTTTATAAATGAATGTATGCTTCCCAGATGCCATGAAAGGTTTATGCAGGTGTCATAAAGCATTCTAAACACTCTCCTTGAGACTGAGAAAGTGTTACTGAAATTGAGCACATTTCTTTTAATAATCTTTGGGAATTCGCCTTTTTTTCTTATTCATTAGCTGCCTAGACACACATTTGTATGGACAGCCACACACTCATTCTGACACACACACACACACACACACACACACACACACACACACACACACAAATTAATTAATGGTTTCCAAGGAAAGACTTTTGAGAGACAGGTGTGAAGAGTGTACCCAAGTGCACAAGAAGTAGACAAGAGTGATGAAAGAAGGGAACAAAAAGAGAGGCAGACCCCAATAATTGCTGCCTCCGGGGAGTAAAATACACCTTACAGCTAAGGCAAGCTTAGTCTGATTGACCGGTAAAATTGAAATTGAAGAAGTATGAGTCACGTTCAGTAATGAATTGAGTTTCAACTCAATGACTACATTTCCTGAAGCAAATGAAATTAAGCTGCGATGTTGCAGTGTCCTAAAAGCTGAGGTTTGACCGTATGCTTAATAGCTTTAAGGGCTTTCCTTCAGACATACAGATGTGGACAAGATGCACATACACGTATAATTGCAAAGGCAAAGGAGAGAAATTGTGAAGTGTAGAACAGAGGAAGAAGAGATAAAAGAGACAGATAATAATTACAGGTGGCACAAGGGAGCAACACAAACTCAAAATCTTTTTCACATGGAGAAGAAATAAGAAGGAGAAGACGGACAGAGGTTCTTTCTTTTTGAAATGCAATCATGTCTGATG